CAGGCACATGAACACCAGAAAGTTTAGCAGCAGCAGGAGGACAACTACCGACAGTAGCACCGTCAGCAACAGAAGGACAAGTAACAGGAGGACCATCATTACCAGCAGGACCCTGAGGCCCAGAATTACCAGGAGGAGGTGGTTCGATCTTTTTCTCTATCTGAGAAAAAAGTTTAATTTCAGATTCAGTTTCAAGAGCACGATTATCACCTGTACCCTGCGCCTCTTCAGCCCACACACATAGAGAGGTAACAATCAGAAGCAAAGCTAGTATATAGATTTTATGGCGCAGGATCATGACAAAAGTTCTTCTTCTTGTTATTGTCACTTAAATTCACCAGGTCTAATGCATCAAGTGTTGAAAAGTAAAAGAACAAGAAAGAAAAAGGGACACAGATAGTGAGTGGATGTAGGGCACAACTACTCACAGTGGAATAGAGAGAGAAGCAGCAACTGAACAGTAAAACCAACAAAAAGGAATACTCCGCCTGTATAATATTAATATGTACCCCTTAATAGAAAAGAAAACACCCCACAATACCCTAATAAGAGAGAGTCAAACACACACAATACCCCATGGCTCTAGTTTATGTANCTCATAAATGTTCAATTCTCCAGCAAAACAATGAGCAAATAAAGCATCATTAACAAATAGCCCAACTTACCTAGAAAACACAGAAATACAACAACTATGGGTGTAAGTCCATATGTAAATATATACGTAATCATAAATATAAATTCATCTGTTATTATTATTTTATTTTTTCCCATTGCAAAAAAACAGTTCATCATCTTCACTATCATCATAGTGCAAGCCCAGACACACACACACACAGAGAGAGTCTCCAAGAACACACACACACACACAATGGAGTAGCAATAATAATAATTATTATAGGATAAGCACACAGAGAGCAAAAACACACAAAAACATTAACAATAAGAAACAAGAAGAAGAGAAATCCAAACAGGTGGAAGATTAGTTAGACTGTAGGGATGTATGCATGCAAAAAAGAAAAGAAAACAAAGGATGACCTGAGTCACACCACCACTACACTATTACAATCAGCACACAAGAATACAGGCCAGTGTAACCACAATCATTAGTGGTACACGCACCCACACAGAACTGCTGATACTGCTGCTGCTGTCTGCATCACCCTTCTTGTTGTTTGTGAGTTCAGGAGGAAGTGTTGTGGTGGTGGTGGTGGTGGTAGTAGCAGTGGTTGATTCTTCATTATTTGTTGTAGTATCATCCCCAGAATTTGCAGTTCCTGCAAATGAGGGGTCGTTCTCATTCGTTGTGGCACTAGAATTTTCACCACCGCTCACTGAGGTTGAACCGTTAGTAGAAGAATGTTCGGCTGCTCCATTTGCATTTCCCGCACTTCCTCCATCTTGACCTTCACTTGCAGACACAGCACCACCACTTCCATCAGTAGTAGTAGATTCAGAAGTAGGACTAGGAGAGGGAGCAGCAGCAGCATCTCTACCTGTGGTATCAGCACCTGCAGTACTAGATTCACCGGGAGGACCCTGTGAGACTTGTACACCACTGACCGTCTCAGTCATTTGTGCTGTAACTTGTGTAAGTTGTGTGTCTGCACTACCACTACTACCATCACTTCCACGTCCAGAAGATCCACTTGTAGTAGTAGCACGACATTTTTCATTATCACCAACAGCGACGGAAGGGCATTCAGCTTCACCAGGACCAGTAGGAAGAGGAGTACCAGGATCAGCAGGAGGAGAATCACCAGTACCGTGAAGAAGAATCTTTGTCTCACTCTCCGTATCAGGGACTTGGTCGGAAAGATCGGCCGCAGGCACTTCTTCAGCGAGGACGTGCACACACGCACATGAGAGCAGGAGAGCGAGGATACACAGCACGTAGCGCATCATTATTATTATTATTCCAATGGTTGCAGGTATTGTTGTGGATATCGTTGCACCTGTCTTACTTCAATGGAATGTACAATAAAGAAGGGAGAGAAAAACAGACACAAACAAACACAAAGCAGTACAACAAATACTCACATTGGAATAGAGAGAGAAGCGGCAACTGCACAGTAAACCAAGTAAAAGGAATAGTCCCCTTGTATTTATAATATTATGTACCCCCTTTACAGAAAAGAAAAAGGAACACACACAGTACCCAAAGAAGAGAAAGAAAGCCGAACACACACAATATCCCACGGCTCTAGTTTATGTACATTAAATTACTGCACACACACATCTGTGTACTAGCAAGAGATGTATACCGTCAGTGAGCAGAACAGCCCAGTTTTCTGCAAACACACACAACGGGAAAAGCAAGTAATGAAATTATTAGAAAACGAACACACACACACACAAAAGTAAAAGAAAAGAAATCCCAATTGAAAGAGAAAGATGGTAAACAGATTATTAGTTCATTCACCCATGGGGGATGTACGCAAATATAATTATGTTAGTTTAACCATTATTATTATTATTTGTCCTCAAGTGAGTCCCACCGTTCAGTACACAGTAACGGAGAACAACACAGCCACAATCAGCAGCGGTGCTGCAGTGTGCATCCAGACAGGACTGACAGTGCTGTCAGCATTAGCCTTCTTCTGAACAGCGGAGGCAATATTGTTGCTGATCTGTGTGTCGTTTACAGCCTCAGGAGGAACTGTTGTTGTGGTTGTGGTTGGTGCTTCTTTGGTATTATTAGTGTTGTTGGCCGTTGCTTCAGCATTGCCATTCTCTTGTGAGTCTGCGGCAGTCGCATCAACAACTGGAGTAGATGACTGCTGGGTAGTATTAGGGTTGACAGGTGTCTTGTTATCAGATGTGTTGTTCGGTGTTCCTTGATCTCCTTGTGGTAGCTTAGTAGTACCTGGAGTTTGGACTTCAACTGAAGAGGCACTAGGAGGCTTTACTGCTTTGCTGTCATCCATTCCATTTTGTGGTTTTTCTTCCAACATAGGATCTTCGGATGGCGCCACAACTTCAGGATGATTTGGTATCGATGGTTCTGGTGCTCGATCTTCATAACCTCCTTGTTGTTCCATGGTCGTGTCTCTTTGATGTTGTTCCTGATTCTGTGAGGTTAATCCACCACGATGATTCGCCACTTCATTTGCCTTCTTGGGGAATCCCATCGCTGAACACTTTACGCCATTAATAGTAGTATTAGGGTGCTTACAGTTCTTCTCAATATCTCCTGTTATAAAAAAATCACTCCATCCATACATACCTTCACTAGTATTAAACTTCTTTGGCTGTTCCTCAGTAGTAACAGCAGGAAGAGCATCGGACCCAGGAGAAACAGCTTCAGCAGCAGTAGCAATACAAGAACCTTTTTCAGGAGAACCTTTAGAGCAATCACCCTCATCAGTACCTTGAGCAACAGGAGTACCTTGAAGAAGAATCTTTGTCTCACTCTCCGTATCAGGGACTTGGTCGGAAAGATCGGCGGCAGGCACTTCTTCAGCAAGGACGTGCACACACGCACATGAGAGCAGGAGAGCGAGGATACACAGCACGTAGCGCATCATTACCATTCCAATACTTCTTGTAGTAGTCTTACTTCAATCACTTAAAGTAAACAACCAGAAACAAAGTGAATCAATGGAAACAAGAAAATAAGAACACACAACAAATCAAACAACACTCAATAATTACATCAGAGACACACACATTGCAGAAAGCTGCAATCATAACTCATATAGTACCCAAATAAGAGGAACAAAGCACACACAGTACCCAGTAACAAAAAGATAATAACAATAACCCCTCAAAATAAAAAAAGAAATTAAGGAGAGCGTCCAACAGAAGCAGAAAGCACATTAATACATTAAAATGCCTCTTCCTGTAGGACCAAGCACAATTACAAATATACTTATGTGTATTCTTTATCATTTTTTCTCCCCACAAAATACTCCAACACACAACATTGCAGGAAAACGCACACGGTGCCCAAGCAAAGAAAACGTGAACAAAAACACAGACTAAGAAGCGGCCAAATCGCACAAAAATAACTCACAGACCACTGAGTATGCTGGTGTGTTCAAGCAATTACGAATATAAATTGTATTAACCACTATTTTCTTCTTTGCTATGCAGGACAAAGCACACTACCAAACCGTGCAGGGTAAAGCACACAATGACCCAGCAAACCACAAGCAAACAAAGAATCATGTATTAATCATTAGCCCAACGTACCCAGTAAACACAAGAACTATACACCAACTATGGGTGTAAGTCTATATGTGTATATATGAAATTATAAATATAAATTCATCTGTTATTATTATTTTTTCCATCTCACTGCAAAAAGCAGTTCATCATCATTACAGTGCAAGCCCAGGTGCACACAGAGACAGTCTCCAAGAACACACACACACAATGGAGTAGCAATAATAATTATTATAGGATAAACACAGATAGAACAAAAACACACAAAACACATTAACATTAAGAAACAAAAAAAAGAAGGATAATCCCAACAGGTGAAAAGATTAGTTAGACTGTAGTGTGGATGTATGCAAAAAAAGAAAACAAAGGATGACCTGAGTCACACCACCACACCACCATCACAATCAGCACACAAGAATACAGGCCAGTGTAACCACAATCAGTAGTGGTACACGCACCCACAGAGAACTGCTGATACTACTGCTGCTGTCTGCATCACCCTTCTTGTTGTTTGTGAGTTCAGGAGGAAGTGTTGTTGTGGTGGTGGTGGTGGTAGTGGTGGTTGTTGATTCACTCACACCAACCGCAGTCTCGTTATTTGTTCTTTCACTCTCTTCTGAAGTTGTCACATTATCAGTGGTACTGTTGGGCTCTGTGCTCGTGTTATTTGGTGTCTTTGAATCACCAGAGGGTTGATCAGATGGGGTTGTGTCAGCAGGAGGTGCATCTGCAGTAGGGTGTTGTGTGGAGTCAGCATTTGTCGACAATTCTGTGCGTGCAGTATTCGTTTCTTTGTTGCGGTTTTCTTCTTGAGAGCCCTGTGTAACTCTGTCTATCTGTTTCTGTTGCCCCTCAGAACCAGGACCACCTGTACCACCTTGTGGCGGCTGCTCAGGAGATAACGATGCCTCACTTGTTTGGTCTTCTCTATGAGCGCCTGCTGCCTTTTCCTGACCACGAGTTCGAAGCTGTCCATGTAGATTCGCTACACTCACATCTTCAGTAACACGCGTTTCACTATCATTTCTTACTGTGGTAGAGGACGTACCAGGAAGTACATCACCAGGAGCAGTAGTTTGAGAACCACGTGAACCAAGCTCTCCGGTTTCCGGGTGAGAAGAAACTGAAGATTCAACCGAAGGTTCAGCAGCAGGTGATCCTGAATCACAAGAAGTATCTTTTTTTTCAGGATTGGGACAAGCCCGGTTAGAAACATCAGTATCAGATAGAGACTCACGAGCTTTAATTTCTTGAGAATTATGAGTACTCATTTCATCGGCCACACAAACACTTGTCAAACAAAGAAACAATAAAAAATACAATAACCGGCATATTAGCGTCATGATAAGAGGTAATGTTTAACCCTTTTTGTTTTTCAACTACGATGAAGATAGAGAGAGGGAGAAAAAGAGAGGGAACAAAATGTAAGGTTAACCCAATACGGACACGCACCTATAAAGTGTAGGAGAACAGAACAAATCAAACAGCGACACAAAGCATTACAACCAGTACACACAATAAAGCACCTCACAAAGGACCCCAAACAAAAATAAAAGCATGGAAGGACCAATCGCACAAACAGAAACATAAACAAGTGCTATCTGCATATGTTTTAGTGTCCACAGCAATTAAGAATACATATATAAATCACTTAATACTTTTTCTTTCCTCTAAAGAAAAAGCGAATCATAACAAAACGGTGCAGGTCAAAGCACACAATGCACCAGCAATCCAAAGGCAAACAAAAAAGATATTAACCATTAGCCCAATGTATCCAGTAAACACAGAAATACAACAACTATGGGTGTAAGTCTATATATGTGTGTATATATGCAATTATAAATATAAATTCATATGTTATTATTATTTCCTTTTCTTTTCTCTACAAAAAACAGTTCATCATCATAATTACAGTGCAAGCCCAGGCACACACAGAGAGAGTCTCCAAGAACACACATACACACAATGGAGAAGCAATAATAATTATTATTATAGGATAAACATAGAGAGCAAAAACACACACAAAACACACAATAACATTAAGAAACAAAAAAGAAGAATATCCCAACAAGTGGAAGATTAGTTAGACTGTAGGAATGTTTGCAAAAAGAAGAAAGAGAAAACAAAGGATGACCTGAGTCACACCACCAGCATTACAATCAGCACACAAGAATACAGGCCAGTGTAACCACAATCAGTAGTGGTACACGCACCCACACAGAACTGCTGATACTGCTGCTGCTGTCTGCATCACCCTTCACATTTGGCATT